CTGAAAGACCTTTTTCTAATGTCTAGTCGTTTTAAGTAAATAAATAACTACAAATATTAAGGTATTTCATCCTAATTTGGTGTAAAAGGTACATTCAGGTAGTATAATTTCTCTCCAAGAGAGGTTAGACTTTAATAATGATTTTCACATGATTGCAAGCATAAAAACAACTGTTGATTATAATGCTTAGTCACTGGGACAAATTCAGACTCCACTAATTAAATGGCAGCATAAACTCACCAAAGTGAATAAACTAATTAAATGAATCTATCTGGATTCATTATAAAGTGAATTCCATATGCAAACAAGGACTATAACATGTTAAAGCATCCAAGCTTAAGCTCAAAGGCACAACAGTTATGAGTAGCACACTTGTGTTGCTTTTAGGCAAAACCTCAAAACCTCACAACAAACACTTTAAACCTCAAACTTTTACAGAAAGATTAATAATATCATATAAATAAAAGGCTACAATAAAATCACTCCCATAAAGTTGTTATTATACTATAATAAAAAATAAAAAGCTTTTTCTTGGGGGATTTTTAGCACTGCTTCTGAGTTTTTCAATCTCCAGACTTAGCAATTTCTGACTTTGTGGTGGATATTAAAGCCCAGTACCTAAGAGACCTCAGAGAACATTAGAGACAAAAAATAATAATAATAACCTTAGAGGTCAACATCACCTCACTTCATCTTCCATTCTGACCTGGGCCAGCCGAGGTGCCAACCACCCCTACTCAAGCCAACCTGGCTTCTCAATAATCAATGCCTTCCATGTCTTCCCTCCTACTGAGTTCAACTTCCTCACGCACTTATAAGTCTCACACTTCTTTTTGATCTGTCTTATCTTATGCAACCCATCTTTGGGTTGGATTCTCTGTTCCTAGATTAGCCAAGTGCTGCTTCCTAGGTTTCTGCCGCAGGCTGTAGCACTGTGATTGGAATGAGCACTCCTTCACCAGCGCCTGACCACCCCTGGCCCTGTCTCCTGTCCCTGCTGGGCCTGACCAGCTTGGCCATGCCCATGAGTGCAGCTGCTACCTTCAAGTACTGCACAGGTTGCCTCATTCCTCCAAGGATGGTTATTAACATATTGTCTGTCCACTCCAAATTCACCCTTTTGGACTGCTCTGTGAAATTAGATCTGAGGCCTTTTAGTATTTTTCATTGGCTAGCTGGCACTAAAGTTTTTTCGGTAGGGGGCGCTGGAGAGACATCGGAGGAGGAAAAAAGGTTTTGCTTCCTAGGTCTGATGCAGTCGCTCAGCAGGCTCCCATGGCAGGATAGAGACGGCTTCTCCAGGACCAGGCTCCAGCAGTGCTAGCAGCTTCTCCGCGTGCTTCTCCAGCTTCCACCTGGGTTCTTCTGGTAACCTAGGAGTCTGTACTGCAAGCAGCAGTCTATGCATTGGTAAACAGCCAGAATGTATACAAAAAGTTTCTGAAATTAAGCCAAACTCTGCCTACCTATTCTATTCTGCCCAATCTTGGGAGCAATTTCCTTGCTCTGAAGCAACACAGAATGACAACCTTCTTTCACACAATATCGTGTAAGATATCTGAATACAAATATCTTGCTTTTCCTTTGCTTCCTTTTCACCAGATTAAAAATACGAAGCCCTCTAATCATCTCCTATATGAATCCACAACATCTTAATCCCTTCTGGTGTACCTCCCTCCCCATCAGCTGGTCAGTGTCCTTTTTAAAGTACTGCCCCAGTAACAAAACATAATGCCCCTGATGTAGTTGACAATCCCAGTATAATGCAATGAGACTACTGGCTGTGGTCAAGATGCTGCACTTTCCTTAATCAGTTAGGAGCCATGCTAGTGTTCTGGAATCCACTGCTCATGAGTGACCTGTAGGTCAAAAACTCTCAGATCCTTTGGGTGCAACTATCAAGCCAGGATTTTCTCCTCTTGTACTTTTCTCCATTACTGAGAGAAACTATCTTTTTCTGGCACTACTAAATTGATTTTTTTTCCCTAATACTCTTAAAGCAATGGTCAACATGTGCTTACCACGCCCAAAGTAATCTGTTGCAGCGTAGGATAAGAATAATAAGCTTCCAAAAGAAGAAAATTCCACAGGACCTACCATATTTTATGTTTTGACCTTGATGGGCACAGGTACAGTTTATAATATGCTTATATCAGTAATATTATATACTTCCAATATTACACATATATGTATATATCTAGCCCTTTAGGATAACTCTTTAATTGAAGCCTTACTAATGTTTCACAGAGAATTACGTAGAGTGTACAAGTTCAGGGAGTATGTAAGTGCCTAGGGCAATCTAGCCATTTCATTATATAAAACAATAATTATACTGAATTACCATGAAAGGCAACGGGAAAGGAAAACATTTCTAGTATCTTGGAGTTATGCATTTAAGACTGATCAATAATGACATCCAAACGACAAAATGAAAAACCATGTGTATAAGCCAAAATGACATGATTAAGTAAATAATGTAGTGAGGAAACATTATACAAGGTCATGCTAATAAATCTCTTTCTACGTATGCTCTGAACTATAGTGGATTAGTCTTAGTATTATATACTAGGATACATTTTATTCTAAGACACAGTTAACATCTTTCAATCATTCTAAGTATCTAAAAAATTTTAACACCATATTTATAACAAACTAGCCTATAAACTACCACTAAATATATTAGATATGCATATTTTTATAACTTTTACTATAACTCATTTAGCTATTAATCACCACAATTCCTCTAAAGTCTTTCCCTAAAACCATTTTGTCAGCATCTTTTCTCAGCTATATTTATTTTCTTATCAGGTGTCATTGCATAAACTTGAATTCTGCCCTCAATTTCTAATTGAACCATTATAATGTATTTCTCTCCCTTCCTTAGCTTAGAGTGTACAAGTTAGACTATACCCTTTCCTATTAAGTTACAGCCTGGAGGGCAGGTTATAATGAACCCAATAAGGTGTCAAATGTTCCTGTTCTAGCCCAAATTAAAAATGCTAAAATTTCACCGCTCCGTTTATGTTTTTCGGGGAGAAGTAAAATTTCACTATATTAAGACATACTGCCTTTTATAAATATCTATTGCTGAGGAATGCTTATAAATGAGGCTCAGTAGTGCCTTGGAAATTCAGTGATTCCCAAAACAATACTCTCTTGTTTCTGGACAAGGGGACTGTGGCAGATCCAGCTAAGTTGCTGCTAAAATCTGTTCTTTCTGTTTTTGCAGTAATCACGTTTTGGCTGGAATGCAGTTGCTGGCCAGGACTATGTATCTCAGCCCTCTTGCAGTTAAATGAGGTCATGTGACACATTCAATGAAATATTCAACAGAACATGAGCACAAGTGACATATAACACTCCAGGCCTAGCTCATAACTCCTTGCAAGACTGAAAAAACCTCTGCTCTTTTGACTTTGGAAGCCCTGTGTAGATGATAGAGAAACAGGTCAGCTTAGGTCCCTGAATGACTGTGTGGAGCAGAGCTACTGCTTGACCTGTGGAGTTCACCTTAGAACCATTTCTTGAGAGAAAAAAATGACTTAAACACATTAACTGCCATTGAGTTGTATTTAACACACACTAGTTTTGAGCCCAGGACCTTGTGAAGCATATGTAACTCACACATTTCTTCACGTTGGGAGCCACGTGAACTATTTTTTCAAGTTGCATATAACTCACAACAGAAAACAATAAAAAATGAATTTTTCATTAAATTAGAAAAGATCATTTTGTTTTTGAAGTTTTTATTCTATTTTCATAATAAAACACCATGGCTCCATGGAAATATTTTTTTTGTAGTGTAGCAATGTGTTAAGAATTCTTTTGGGGTCTTTTGTTTCAGCAGCATAATTTAAACAACAGAAACATAGAAAATGCACTTAAAAAAAAGGTTTGATAAAGAAAACATCAGGAAAGCCATACACATACTGACTGTAGCCAAATGCTGGGCTTAGGGCAAAGACAAATCATACCCATGGTTTAATGATAATTCCAAACAGAAATAAACCCACTGGAATAAACAGTTGTGCCAATGCATTGCCTACTGAACATTCCTTAACAAAGCCTTCACCTTTTTACCCAGCATTTTTCTCCCAGAGGAATTACAACTCACCATGTGACTCTGATTCTTCCCTTGACTTCAGACAGCAACTCATTCTGCATGTTAGTCCCTCCTCTTTGCCTTCCTATTCTCTTTTCTCATACTTGCCAGACAGTGTGGCCTCATGGTTAGGTATAAGCCTAACCACAGAAAACTGCTGAAATTTCTACCCATCTTCCCACTGTTTTTCCATCATACCAGTTCCTATTATTCCAGCTACATGAACAATAACCATGACTTTGTGACTTTATTAGTGTACTCCCTTACCTAGTCCCACTACACATACACGAGACTACTAGATCCAAATCTGTCTTCTAGCACAACATCTCTATTAGTCCTGCCAAAATCTTGTATACTCTATAGACTATGGTTTGGCAAACTATGGCCTATGGGCCAAATCTTGATGCCTGTCATTTTGAAAATAAATTTTATTAGAACACAACCATGCCTATTTATTTATGTATAGTCTATAGTTTGGACTACAATGGCAGAGTTGAGTAGTTGGGACAGAAGCCATAGGCTGTAACAGCTAAAATATTTACTATTTGGATATTTATAGGAAAACTTTCTGCACCCCTGGTTTGGACCAACATCATTTCTCATAAAGATAATAACAGCTATCTTCTTCTACCTCATTCATTTAGCACTTCTACAAGTACCTGTACTAACAGAATAAGAAATACAAAGATATATATATATATATATATATATGTTCAAAGACATAAAAGATATGGCACTCACTCTTCAAGAGTTACAACGTGCAGAGAAAGAGTATGCACGGGGGAATGCAGGTATGCTAGTAAGACAGATACATAAAAAGCCCCAATACAAGAACTAAATGAACAGTAAAAAGAATCAACACTGTATGTAGATATAAGAAGGAAAGATGATTTCCATCTGAGTAATCAGGAAAGGCTTTATTTATGGAAGCAGTGATGTCAAAGATGGAGTTTTAACCAGAAACAGAATGGGTGAGTAGCCAGCCAAGACAGCAGGAGGCAAACTATTATACTCTATAACATATCACATCCATGAGTGGCTATTCTTCTTTTTCGGGTTTTAACCATGAGTGAGCATGCTTGGGAGCTTCTGCAGCACGGCCTCCAATAACAGTCATCTCACAGTGTCTCAATGTCTTTATTCAGAAACTTCTGGTTGAGCTGGTCAGCCACTGGCCAAGATAAGGCACAGGCAAAGCTGCTGTAACACAAGAGACTCAAAAATACAAGGGATGCAAACAAAAGACATTTGCTTCTCTAGTAGGTAGGGAGTTGAGGGTAAGATGACCTTCAGGTCATCCAGTTATCCAGGTCCCTTCAACCTAGTTGCTCACCCTCCTCTCCAGGGCTGTAGGCCTCACAAAGTCGCTGACTCCGCCTTCTACATCTGCATTCTAGTCCATGGGAGGGGAAAAAAGGAAGACGAGACAAATTGGATTCCTAATTAAAGATGTGAACTAGAAGTTGCACTTAACACTTCCATGTCATGTGGGATATCTAGAACTTGGTCCTATGTCCATACCTGGCTACAAAGAAGGCTCAAGAATGTAGTATTTGGGAATGGTCCAATATGCTAGTGCCAGAGTGACAAGATTAGTCATGCCTAAGGAAATAAGATAGGAAGTGACAAGATATCATGGATTTTCCCACACAATCCATCACCAATCTAATTTTTAAGGCCAGGCGCAGTGGCTCACGCCTGTAATCCTAGTACCTTGGGAGGCCCAGGTGGGAGGATTGCTAGAGGTCAGGAGTTTGAAACCAGCCTGAACAAGAGCAAGACCCCGTCTCTACTATAAATAGAAAGAAATTAATTGGTCAACTAATATATATAGAAAAAATTAGCCGGGCATGGTGGTGCATGCCTGTAGTCCCAGATACTCGGGAGGCTGAGGCAGTAGGATCGCTTGAGCCCAGGAGTTTGAGGTTGCTGTGAGCCAGGCTGATGCCACGGCACTCACTCTAGCCTGGGCAACAAAGTGAGACTCTGTCTCAAAAAAAAAAAAAAAAAAAAAAGAAAAAGAAAGAAAAATTTAAAAAAATTAATTTTTAATGTGGCATTTGCTGAAATGTATTCTGTAGACCACTATTCTGGGAGAAATTATTGGGAATGATGTGGATTAAAAGAAGTCTGTAATCAAACTCTTTCCCATTCCCAGATTGTCACAGTGCACATTTGCAAAATTAAGGTCCCAAAAGTTTGCAGTAAAGGAACCCATTTAGCCAATTTATGAGTTCTAAAGGAACTTAGTATGGCTTAGCTCAAAGTTCTTCAAACTAGTAAGAACAGAGGATTTGTATCTTGGAACCAATCTATTAATATCCCAGGAAGTATGTTCTGCAGATCAGTTTGTGACACAGAGTTTAATTTAACAAACATAATTCCTATAAGATTCTACTATGATGTCTAAAACTCTAATGGATGTGAAATCAAGGACCTCACTTCACAGGCAATACATCCTGCAGCCCAATCAGAACGCTCACAAGCACTCCAAACCCCTCCCAGACTCCACTCTCTGTGCTCATGCGCTTTTCTCCCATTCAAATATGTCTGCTAAACCCTTACCCCACTCCCTCAGAGCTTAGTTAAAATCTCACCTCCTCTCACTTCTGTAATTTCTAATAATGTTGTCTGAATTCTTCTAGTATTGACTGTCTTGGATACTTATTTGACCCTCATGGGCCAAATGAGTAAAGAACACATATCTCTTTCATATATAGGTACCTTGGTTTCCGTGTAACTTTTAAGGACCTTGCATGCGAGCCTTTGGACTTGACACGGACTGGCAAAATCCCTGCACTGAGATCTCAGGGCAAAGCAAAATCCACTCTAGGGGCAAGGGAAATAAGGAGAATTGTGACAGATCTGGACTTAACTATGATAGATCAGAACCGTGAGAAGCCATATCTACAACTCACTGTAAGCCAATCGAATCAAGGTGGAGCAAACAGCAGCCAAACTTTTAGCTAAAACACTTTTAGAAATCAGGCAGAAGTAGGTCTTGGAGCTGGTCAGGGTAGTGGTAGAACAGTGGCAAAGGCTCCTGTAACAGTTGGAACCATCATTACTGCCCTATTTATCCGTTCTGTCTGTCCCCAAAGTCCAGAAATATTGGGACAATGGCCACAGTCCCTGCATGAACCTGTAGATTTTTTTTTTTTAAGTTCCTATTCACACTCAAAGACCTCATATTCTAAGCTGCATAGGTAAATGGATGAATGGCAACCACTTAACTGGGGGTTACCTGTCAGTATGTGAACATTCAATAGTCTCTGACACAAGTAGATCTACCATTTGATCCAGCAATTCCACTAATGGGCATCTACCCAAAAGATCAAAAGTCACTTTATGAAAAAGACACCTGCACTTGAATGTTTATAGCAGCACAATTCACAATCACAAAGGTGTGGAAACAACCCAAGTGCCCATCAATTCATGAGTAGATTAATAAAATGTGGTATATGTATACCATAGAATACTACTCAGCTTTAAGAAACAACGGTGATACAGCACCTCTTGTATATTCCTGGATACAGCTGGAATCCATTCTACTCTTGAGATACTCTAAGTATCTCAAGAATGGAAAAACAAGCACCACATGTACTCACCAGCGAACTGGTATTAACAGATCAACACCTAAGTGGACATATAGGAGTAACATTTATTGGGTGTCTCGAAGGTGGGAGGGGGGAGGAGGGCAGGACTATGTACAACCACAACGAGTAAGATGTGCAACGTTTGGGGGATGACATGCTTGAAGCTCTTACTTGAGGGGGGAGGGGGACATGGGCAATATAAGTAACCTTAACACTTGTACCCCCATAATACGCTAAAATAAAAAAAAAATAGTCTCTGACAAACTTTGCTCTGCACTCTGAAGGGCCTCCTTTAATGGGGCCCGAACACTGGGAGACCAACGAATGAATGATGATCTCACCCCTGGGAAGTCTGCAGCCAAAGGAGAGTGTACCCCACTCCTGGAATGGTAATGGAGGTGTCGATACTGAAAAGATCTGTTTGTTTTCTAATATCAAAAAATTATATTTCCTTTTTGGGGATTATTTTCCAAGAGGTCAATTTTATATTTTGCCCAGGAGTTGTATCTTATGAAGAAACATATTTTATAATTGATTTTTAAATTAATGTTCGAAATTATTTAAATCTTAATAATTAAACTTTCAGTACTAATACTAATAACTTTTGGCAATCACCAAGTAGCACTTCATGAATTTAAAACAAATATGGGCCGGGCGTGGTGGTTCACGCCTGTCATCCTAGCACTCTGGGAGGCCGAGGAGGGCGGATTGCTCAAGGTCAGGAGTTCGAAACCAGCCTGAGCGAGACCCCGTCTCTACTAAAAATAGAAAGAAATGGGAGGCTGAGGCAGGAGGATCCCTTGAGCCCAGTAGTTTGAGGTTGCTGTGAGCTAGGCTGACGCCACGGCACTCACTCTAGCCTGGGCAACAAAGCGAGACTCTGTCTCAAAAAAAAAAAAAAAAAAAAATAGAAAGAAATTAATTGGCCAACTAAAAATATATATAGAAAAAATGAGCCGGGCATGGTGGCACATGCCTGTAGTCCCAGCCACTCGGGAGGCTGAGGCAGGAGGATCACTTGAGCACAGGAGATTGAGGTTGCTGTGAGCCAGGCTGATGCCACGGCACTCACTCTACCCTGGGCAACAAAGTGAGACTCTGTCTCAAAAAAATAAATAAAAATAAATAAATAAATAAATATGATCTAATTTCCTGAGAATCCCATTTAGAAAAGTTCCTTGTTTATGAAGAAAAGTGCTGCTTTCCCCACATGTAAAGAATCACCCTAAATCAACACCACACTTTAAGAACACCCAAGAAAACAAACACTTATATGCCACCCTGTCCTTACAGGATTTATATACTTTGTTAAATTTTGTTAATTGTGTCCTTTAAAAACCTTCATATGAAAGTATATCTGAAACAAAACAATTAACCTAAATATGATTTAAGACTACCATTTGGTTTTAATAGGAGATAGAATATGTATAAAAACTATTTTGGTTAACTTTTAAAAAATCTTCAATTATTCACGGGTCATATCACAAAAAGTGAATAAGAATGCCTCAGGCTTTCTCCCTAGAGTAAGTGGAGAGGAAGAAATGGAGAAGGCAAGACCTGAAGAGAACACACCAGTAAGAAACTCTATATGATATTTTGTTCTTTTTTTGAGACAGATTCTCACTCTGTTCCCCAGGCTAGAGTGCCGTGGCGTCAGCCTAGCTCACAGCAACCTCAAACTCCTGGGCTCAAGCGATCCTCCTGCCTCAGCCTCCGAGTAGCTGCAACTACAGGCATGTGCACCAGGCCTGGCTAATTTTTTCTGTTTTTGGTAGCGACGGGGTCTCGCTCTTGCTCAGGGTGGGCTCGAACTCCTGAGCTCAAACGATCCTCCCGCCTCAGCCTCCCAGAGTGCTAGGATTACAGGCGTGAGCCACGTCACGCAGCCTGATTTTTGTTCTTTAACAACTCTTCACTCATTCCTTTATCCAACAAGCATTTCTGATGCACCTACTGGGCCAAAGCAGAGGTGATCAGAGATGGAGAAGAATCAGTTCTGACCACAAAGTGCTGAGAATCCAGGTGGGAAAACCATACGAGCACGACTAGCTATAATGCCTGGTTTAATGACACAAGTGCTGTAAGTATGGTAGGACGGAAAAGCAAAGTGTAATGACGTCTGCCTGCAGAGATCTGGGGAGACCTCATCAAAACTGGGGTGAGGTGGTTACTGGAACTCAGAGTAGAACTCAGGAGGGTGAAGGCGGGTAAGGCGAGAGAGATCTGCTGCCTGGGGAACAGCACAAATGCCAACAAGGAGGGGTGAAAATACAAGACAAGCCACACCAGGATATTAATTGAGCCCCACTGGATTGTGGGCTGTGTAAGGTGTGGAGTAGAAAATGCAACTGGAGGCTGAGGCAAGAGCATGGTTCTGGATCACTGTAGCTCATGTTTTAAAGCCTGATTACTCCAGGTTTTGTTTTTTTTGAGACAGAGTGTCACTTTGTTGCCCAGGCTAGAGTGAGTGCCGTGGCATCAGCCTAGCTCACAGCAACCTCAAACTCCTGGGCCCAAGTGATCCTCCTGCCTCAGCCTCCCGAGTAGCTAGGACTACAGGCATGCGCCATCATACCCGGCTAATTTTTTCTATATATATTTAGTAGGCCAATTAATTTCTTTCTATTTTAACACAGACGGGGTCTCGCTCTTGCTCAGGCTGGTTTCAAATGCCTGACCTTTAGCAATCCACCTGCCTCGGCCTCCCAGAGTGCTAGGATTACTTTGGTTTTAATAACAACATACCCACAAAAGGGTATTTACAAGGTCCAAAGAAACTATATTTTCTCCTGAAAAG